GATGAACTCTTTGTTATCGAAAAAGGAGCTTAGAAAATGCCTTATAGGTGTTTTTTTTTCGCGAAGAAACCTTTTAGGTTGTGTTGAAAAGAACTTTTTAGGATCCAAAATTTGGACAAGCCGAAGAAACCCTAAGAGTTCTTTTATGACCAGATTTTTGTTATTGTGTAGGCGTTTCACAGTGTTAAACAATGTGTTCTAATCTCTTTAGGCTGAGTAGTGAAGGAAACCTATATTTCTCATTCCTATCGTTTTGGCCGGTTTTTGAGCACGGGCTTCACGTGCTCTTTTATCCATTCGCTAGGTGGCTTTCCAAAAAATCGGAACTATAAAATAATGCAAAAAAAAAAAAAGGCTAGGAGAAAGACTAGAGTGCTTTTCTAGTACATGGCTATGTTACTACACAGCAGAATTGTTTTGTTTTCATTCGGGTTATTTGATCAGATTAAAAATACTCTCGTGACTTAGCCTGCTCTCCTTTATAAGTGAAGAAACTGGTACGGGGCAGCTACTATTCGGGGCGTAAATACAGATTCAAAACCACTATTGAAGAGTCTGGCTTAATTAACACCATTGGCTACCGACCGACCCGAGTCGCTGATTGGCCGAATGCCTTGTTGTTTGAGCCTTTCACGTACTTTAACTATTCCTCTGGGTTGCATTTTGATCTTTCAAAAAAGCCGTTAAGCATTGTTTTAAAATGTGACACCGTATTTTTTACACTTTCACTTCCCTCAAAGCTACTATTTTTATTGTGCATAAAAATACGTCGACGTCTGCGTACTCTATCACACGATCATCTTATGACGGAATCGTAATATTCTAATCACTTTTGTAACACCTGACAAAGGACACCCTTTCAAGTGTTCACACTGCTTGTTCACAAGGCTGCGTCGACTGCCTTGTGCTGCGTTGCGTCGGGCAGCACAGCGCCTTCCCATTGGCTCGTCGTATGGATCGCCATAGCAATAGCTCGACGCAAGCAGTCTTAACGACGTCTAACGCAGTCAAACGAAACTGTGTGAATGAAACTTAACACCTGACAAATAAACATATTTACCCCTATACCGTATTTATATAATTTCTAAGGCATTCATATCCTTTCCTGTTCGCATATCCACTAAACAGTTGCAGCTCGGTCTTCTTTTTGTACGTGGCATGTTTTGGTCTAAGCATATTTTGAGAAAAAACACTTCGCCGAAAAATATTGGATGCCTGCGGCAAACATTGTATGTAACTTCACAAGCTACTATGCTTCTAACATACGAAACTCGGGTCCGTCGAACCCTCAAATACGGTTCAGTCATTTTGGAATTGAGACAATGAGATGTAAAGAAACTGTATATTTTCAAAGAAAGCGTTACGGTTTAGTTATTACCGGTGTCAAAAGAAATTTGGGCCCGACTTTTAACATTGAGCTATGACCAGCATTTCTGCATTTCGTGGCATCGAGCGCTTAAAATGTGCATTGAATATTTATTTTACCATATTTCTTCTCATTAAAAAGGATTCTCAAGTTTTTGATACATCACCAGCAAGGAGTCAACGTGAGCTAACATTTCAGCGCTTCATTCCCGCATAAATATATTTAACTCCGTTTTCTTTTTTTTTAACCATTAAATTTTGAGCTTATTGCCCTGAAATCTCGCTCATTATAATTTCTGTATGCTAACGATTGCTGTTGATATTGTTTTATATTAGAGTTTTGATTTCTAACAAGGTTGAACTAGTTGGTTCAGCATTATTAAAGTGAAAAAAAAAAAAAAAGCGCAAAAGATGGAGGATGTGTTTGAGTACACACACACAGCGTTGACTGACAACTGAAAATTTTACTTCCGCACGATACAGCGGGTAAACATGATGCTGGGAAAAATATAAACAAAAACAAACAACCTGATAACTCCCCCCCCCCCCCCCCCCCCCCATCATGCCGACACACGCGTACAGAAACTTGCTGGACTTGCGAATAAATTTCACCTCGTCAACCGCCCGGGCTGCCGACGGGGCGGTGACACACATGTCCGCTTCATAGCTGGCAACAACAATAGCTTCGTGAATTTCACTGCCACTCTTATTTCTGTGCCTATATCTTTTTATAAGCAAATCGCCGTTTCATCTCGCGCAGGCGCGAAATGAAATGGCGTTTTCGATGAGACGTCAGAGTACGCGATCCCGACGGTTTGACTCACTGTGCTAACAGGTGTGTCGCTTGATTGATTTCTTTTTGGTATCATGTCAAAGTTGAATAGACATACGCTGCACAGTGCACAATAAGTGCTAACATGTAACCTGTTACAATACTCTGTTACTGACTCCGCGTAGAAGTTGAAACTGACGCCTACAATCTATCGTCGAGGCTTCTGTTTCCGCTCTTATTATATACATATAGTTGAAATGTCGCACGCTGATATACCACATCAAGCCAAACGTGATGGTGAAAGAAAAGATGTCTCCATTCCTTCAAGAGATATGCACCAAGCAAGATGGTCATAGTACGTCAGGCGCTGGCATGACATCACGCACGCCGCTATCATGTGCAGTGACACGCATCGCGTGTCCAGTACGGCCGCGGCGATGAGGAGACTTGCGTTGCCATCTGCACTTGTTTGCGATTTCCTGTGTGCCTTGCGGTTGAATACGCTTCTTTTCAGGCTTGATATTTGTTTCGTTCGGTTTTTTATATATCGTTTAGTTGTATAAGTCTACCTCATAATTAAATATCTGTTTCGTTCGATTGTTTCTGTAACAAACAAATAAATGTTTTCCATTTGATATTTGTAATAATTCCGTTAGCTACAAATACATCTGTTACGTTCGATACATGCCTTGAATTATGTCTAGACTCGGCACGTAGGCGTTGTCACACCTAAACGTGTGGCCGTGTCGTGCATGGACTGCCTACCCCTTTTTTCTGTGATCTTATTTTTATTTTGTCTGCGTGCGTGATACTGTTTGTTTCTTGCTCACCCCCTACTCGTGCAATTCTTCTAATATATCTGCAATATCTGTAAACCAAATGAATAAATTTTTTAGCCAAATATTGTTTTCCACTTGGAGCTGTTTGACCTTTACGACACACAGAGGAGGAAAAAAACACACAAATGAACAAGCGTATAAAAAGGGTTTGCAGTCATAGTTGCGCTTCAATTATTTCCTTGAAATAGGAATTTTATCTTCTCCTATGCTTGACAATCATTCCTTTGTTGACGTTTTGCAAATATACTTAGGTACTAGACCCTCAAGATGGCAATCACCTTGATCTGAACGTTCAAACCATAACAATAGTCAGTGACAGTCAATGTTACTAGAACAACTCAGTTGGGAAACCGCCATAGGAGCCTGCTTTGAAAAAGTGGCTCGGATCCGTACTCCAGAACCGAACTAGACACGATCGCAACGCCGCCATTTTTCCCGCAGCGGCCACTGCGAGAATTCCACGGGTGCACCTACCGGTTTAGCAGGGTAGCGCAAGGGCCAGTGTGACTATCTCGCACCGCCATCCTGCAGTAGTTATGTAAGACAACTTTCATGTTTTGGCTTGCCACTAAAGAACGGAGCTGTAATCGTATCTCGTTCGGTTTTTGTGAACGCGAGAGGTCCGGATTTTAAGGGTGAGTTTCCCAACTGAGTGTCCTAGTAATGTTGGGGACAACATAAAAAATGCCGGTCGTGACAGTCCCGATCATCTTGTTATCGCTCCACAGCCAAGAGTGCTGCGTTACTCGGTACTAATGCCGGAGAGAGAATCATCACATAATAAGTAAAGACCTGAGTTTTTTTCAGCTGTGAGTAACTTTAGGGGTTATCAATAAAGCACATACTCCAAGCCCGTGCTTTCACTTTACAACGAAACACTCAGATAGTCAGACACTTTGATCTATACGGAAATATATCCCGGTGGATGACAAGGCTGAAAGAAGTCTAAACCTTATAGTGGAGTAGGGATTATGAAACTCGGAACATGGCGAGAGAATGACTCATTATGACCTGTACCGCATCCTAGACGAGAAATTATTTTTTTTAGTGTCTTCGCACACCGTGCAACTTCGGCAGTTTGTTGTGGTTATGTCACCAAACGCTTTGCAAAAAAAAAATAAAATAAATAAATAAATAAATACAATTAAAAAAAATAAACAAACTTAGTGTAGTAGAATCTGGTAAGAACTTTAAAAGCAACCCGCCAGATCAAAAGAAACATCGGCAGCCACTTCGAAAATTCCAGATGTTGCTTCTTTTGAGTTCATCGTGTTTAAAGGGATACTTAACCGAAATTTCGAACTCACTAAATAAGGCCGAGCGGATAGGCGGGAAGCTGAAAAACCAAAAAATATCACTCCTTCGGCGATGTATCTAACGGATTGCCGTATTTTTCGGGAAAGAATTGCGCGATTTAACCCGGCCGACGAGGCCGACGAGACAATGCACGTCACGATTCCCACTCTCTCTCCTCCGCGCTACGTCCCGTCAACCTGGTGAACCGAAGCGGGGAGGAGAGAAGCGAGGCCGCTTCTCTTCATTCTCAAATTCTCGCGGAGGACAGTTACGTCAAAGAACTCGCTTGATCGCGCCCTTTTCCAAAAGTACGGCCGTTCGTCTGAAATATCGATGTACGACTGATTTTTTGGAGTACGTAGCGTCCGGTTCAACACTTCTGCAGCCTTACTTTGCAAAATCCAAATTTCGGTTCAGCATTCCTTTAATTTGACAAGGATGGTACAGAAACGCTCCGACATACAGTTCGAAATTGGTTGCTAAACGCAACAATTGCTGGGGGCACCTGCGTTTTTTTATACATTACCTAGGAACCGCCATCAACAAGCTCAATGGTTCAAAGAAGGGTTTCATGGCGGTAGATACTAGTCAGGTCATGCACTATTTATTTTTTTTCCTGTCATTCACGAAGACATTCATTATGTATATATTTTTTTCTAGTGTGCTCTACAGTTTTAAAGGCTACCAAACTTGTAATCAGTTCCATTTCTTTTTTTCTTTTTTTCCAGAATCTTCAGTCTGCTTTTTCTCCTCTTGTGTTCAACGCTACAGCCAGCGCTTGGCGATGACTCAGACTTAGTCCCTGAACTCTGCGATCTCAGGGACCAGCCAATGTATTGCAAGTGCGAGAACAAATACATCGGAAAGGACGACGTCGAAATCATCTGCTTTGTTGTGAGAAATCTCACAGAAGACCACGTTGTGTTTAAAGCCTTCCAGAACCAGCCATCGATCGTATCGATTACCTTCAGCACATTCCGCAGTGATTACCATCTCCACTTTGTTCCGACAGAAGCACTGCGTTCCGCGGCGCCTTCCCTTGAGAGCCTTAAGTTCACTCAAGCCAACCTTGGCTCGCTTAAGACTCACTCCTTCTACAACCTGCCTAAACTAAAGACGCTATCTCTCGATTCAAACGACATCACCGACTTGGGAAATGAGTCCATTGCCGACTTGCCTCACCTCACAAAACTGGAGATGGGCGACAACAAGCTCGTCAAGCTCCCTGCTCACGCCCTCTCGCGTCTGTCGGCACTGACGCACCTATTCCTAGAGCGTAACCAGATAAAGAGCATCGAAGACACCGCCTTCGCTGACTTGGGTGCGCTGAAAGAACTGGACCTGAGTGACAACATGATCGTAACTCTGACGGAGGGCACATTCAAGGGCCTCGACCATCTGGAGCGGCTGGACATGTTCCGGAACAAGCTGCAGAGGTTGGACGCCCGGGTCTTCCGCGGGGCGCCGGCGCTCGTGGAACTGGACCTCAAATACAACGAGGTTTCGGAGGTGGACCCGCTGGCCTTCGAGGGGTTGCCGCGTCTAAAGAAGTTCTACTTCTCTCACAACCGGCTGCGGATTTTACCGGCGAACATGTTCTTAGGGGCGCCGAACCTGCTTACCGTGGACCTGTCGCAGAACCAGCTGCTCACGCTTACCTGGAGGACTGTCCAGGACTTGAGGAAGATTGACGCCGAGTCCTTCGACATGAGCCTCACTGGTCAGTGCTTTTTGAATGGTGTTTTGCGAGGACGGCGGTTCGGGCTTTGGTTCAGCAGGGAAATTTCATAGAACTCACACTGCAGATTTCTGGCTCCGCAACCGCATGCTCAATCAGTAAAGAAAGTGATGTCAAGTCAATTTTTCTGCGTATGGTCTAGAAACATTTCCTATTTTTATGATGTTCTCTAATATGTAAATCGAGGAGTTACTGCCGAAGCCTGGATACACTGCTTCGGATATAAGAATAAAACAAAAATATCACCACTTTGCAAATTGATTAACTATTTCGGCAGTGAATCTGATATAACTATGCTGCACAAGTTTGCATGAAGAAGATTGGTTTCCTAGCTCTCACAGGCTTTTCCTGAGGATTAGCTAGAGAAGTTCAGATAGTTTTAAAATAGTCTTCAGGGTTTATAGGTAGCGTCCAGGCATGTTTCAAGGTTTATAGATTATTCGTAGATGGCTTCCAGGTATCTAAAGTATTATAACATTTGTAAAGTTTTGAGGGAATTCAATCGCAACGAAAACAAGAGTGACCTTTAATAAAATTGCATTATCTCAGAATGATTTAGTGTGTTGCGTTAATATTGAAAAATAAGCGCTCAGTAATGCAAACCTGTTAAAATGAAGTTTGTAAGATAGTTATATTGATGGGGGTCCTTACTTGATACCACAAGAAAAGGCCTGTTTTTGCATGCATCTTGTTTACAAATTCAAACTCGGTTGCTCTTGAACCAGCTTTAAATGTGAATAGGATTAAAAAAGAATGTGTTCCATTTGAGCAGACAGTAAGTAGAACAATGGTTTTGGAAATTTTGAATTGGAGATGAAAAGCTGGAGCTCAACGACCAACCTGGAAAACCTTTTGTTCTTTACATCAATGATCTCTTAAATCGATAAGGTACGCGAGCAAGCTGTACCAGGGCTAGCTTGAAAGAATCGCATACAACAAACGTCAAACGCGTGAAGGTTATCGTTAGGTTATTCCTATATAATGGCCCTCACAAGAGGGCCCTCAAAGGAAAAATTAATAAAATAAATGGAATTGTAGGTTGCCGCTTCGGACCTCACCGACGAGTCGTTTCTTGACGAAAATGTGAAGTATAATAAAAAATTAAATCTTTATGGCATTATAAAGCATTCTACATAGTGATAATCATCTGACAGGCCTCTACAAGTTACCCAAAAACTTATAGTGATTTCCTGTGGTACCCAATCATAATAACTCTATTATAATTCTTCCTTCAAGGTGTTGGAACTAGGAGTGAAATACCGTTCTGAAAACAACTAAAAATAGTTTGAAACTAAATAAAAATGCCGCCTGTATATTTCTTAATTTTAAGTGAAGTTTTTTTTTTAAATATTTTTTATGGTTTTCCCAATATGAGGTTTCTGATATCCGTGCAGGTCTTTCCGCTCCCAAACGTTTCTCAGGTTGTAGTACTACAAAAGCGCAATGAGTTTGATTAATAAACTCAAGCACATTCTCCATACTGTCAACACCTTGTACCGAAAAAAACTTTAATGTAAAACAAAACAAAAAAAGTTTTGGAATCACTTTTTAATAAAAACGTTTATAAACCAAAATGAAACCAAGATGCCCTATCAGATTTTATGAACTCTAGAAATCAAGACGTTTATCAGCATGAAGATTGTAAGAGTGTCTGTACCTTGGAAAACATGTATACTTCGTTTCATACTTAGTATAGAACACTGTCAAAGCTACTAGCGCGCGCGTGTGGCAATATCTATGGTTTCGTTTGCGCGAAAGCGCGTGCAAATGATCTGCGAGATCATTTTCTTGCTCGTATACACGCTCCAGCAGTTTTTACAGCGTTGTACACTAAATATGAAACAGAATATAGATTATAATAAACTTGGATCGAAAAAATATTTCTAAATATTTCTAAATATGGGATATGTAACTTAAAACTGGTTATAAATTCCCCTAAAACTTTTCCAGTAAGCGTAATTTTCTTATTGTTTTCACATAGTTTCCACTTAGTTTCAAGAAAAGTTTCATATGTTTTGCCCGATAGTATTTAGAAAGTTTTCTTTCTCATTTTCAGAACGTGTAGGTAAGAGTTTTGTTTTATAAATATTTCCTGATATTTTTGAAATAAATTTTACAATGATTTAAACGAAGTTTGATAGATATCTCAAGATCGTTAACGTAGTTAGCCAGCTACTTTCAAGACAGTTCCGAGATACTAGTCTGCCATATATTTTCCAATCAGTTTGTAAGATTTTTGAGTCAGTGTGCCTCATAGCTACAAAAGAGTTTGCCAGAAAGTTTTAAGACAGTTTCCAGATAGTTCGCCGAATATATTTTCCAGAGAGTTTGTCAAATACTTGCCAAACTATGCCAGATAGTTCGAAGACGCTTTCAAGATAGATCGCCGGTACTTTCCAGATAGTTTGCCACATGGTTTCAAAATAGCTTTAAAAGAGGTTCATTAGGTGAACTGACAGTTCGCCCGCGGATGCTCCTGGGAATTAAAGTAAAGGTCATTAAGTGCTAGTATAGTCTGAGTCGGTCGTGTGAGCGTAAGGGCGTTATTCCTGATAATTCCTGCTTGCCATTTCATTAGTGAGATGAACAGACCGCGTATACGTAATATTAAAGGGGCGTCGCGGTCAGAGAGGTGGACCGGTTTTACATAACACCCCTTGAAACCTTAATCCCTGCCGATTGCGGCACTTTACATCAAAACCAGTACATACACCAATTGGTACACAGCAGTGGCGGGCACCGAGTTTCAGATTCCGGATGAACTCATCCTTTTAGTAAAATTGAAGTCCATGTCTTCAAGAAGGCTTCCGTAAGCTGGTGTAGAGGTTTAATGGCGCGAATGAAAATCATCTAGCAAAATGGAAAAGGTAATAGGAGCTGGAAAGAAGAAGCAAAAGGCAGGCGACAGCGTTCAATCTAGCCTCTCTCGTGGAACATCCAAGTTGGCGTTATCGAACCCAGTTTGACAAATGGATTCACATATGCTTTTAAACCTCTATAGTGTATTCAGACAGTAACGATATGATAATTTATGAATAATCTATACGATGAAGTATCTCTTTTTTTCTTCTTTGCTCTCAGGGATAGAACGAAAGAAGAGAGAGAGAGAGATAATAGAGTGATCAGTTATATGAGTATTTGATAAAGAGGAATGGTTTTTATGCTTCTCATGCCTGCTTTCCTGTATACCTGCTGGCTGTAATTTAGTGTTTTAGTATTACTCTCAGCTCTTTTTAAAAATTGATGGAATATTGATTCAAATCCAGGGTATTGAAACTCGTAGACTCAATCGATACCGCAAGCATTCTAAGAGATGCATCACCCGCAGGAGAAACGAAATAGAGCAGTTCTAGTCAAAAGACAAATCTCTGAGGTAGGAGTTTTTACAGATTAAGACTCACGTGTTCCAAAACGTCACATATGCGACTATACCGCAATTTATTTATTTAATTTATTTAAAGTATATGGCGGCTTGCATCAGTAAGTCATACCAGGGGTGGCTACATATGATCATTCAAAGCAAATTTAACCCAAGAGCATTAATAGCATCTAAAAGAACATCAAGTGATGATAGCGTAAAAATTTCATTTGGTAAGAATGCAATCCGTCATGGGGGCGAGATACTCACCTATTCTCGGTTTTCAGTTCCTGCTGGTTTTAACCGTTCCATTGGGTGCCCAGTTTACAATTTTTCGGACCCAGGAAACATGGATGAGCGAAAAGTGCCGGCAATTCCGTTCAGTCTGCCAGATCATTCTTCACCGTAGTTGACGCTACTTCATCCGGACCCGACGTTCGTCGATCATCACGTCTGGCAATCTGGCAACAACGGTGGGCGTCATATTCTCACGAAGGACAATTGATGAGGCGACGAAAACGAAAAATAAAATCAACGTTTAATGGGCGAACTTGTGCCCAAAATAAGAAGGAAACAGAAGATATCAATAGAGCTCGCGGGCGTCGATGGCGGCGTAACAGTAGGATAGAACGCTGGGGCGAGACTGACTGCGGCTTGCCACGGGAAGCACCTTTTGTAGCCGCGTGGGTCTCTGGAACATTCGGCCTAGAACGTTCGGCGCGTAGAACATTCGTAACTCGATCAGACAAGAAAGTTCTCGAATTTGCGAGAATGCCAAGCAGAAAGAATAAATAACGGAACATTCCGCTGCCTCGAATCGAAGCCAGATCTTCTGCGACAGCCAAGCACGGTAGCCATTCGGCCACTATACGCATTCGCTCAGCGTCGCGCGTGAAAATATGATCATGAAATATTTAAGAGCCTCCTCTGCCAATACCTGATGGGTTTCGGTGCCGTCATGGAGGCGGGTTACTCACGTATTCTTGTTCTTCAGCTCAGTGCACTTTACGTTAATAATACTATTGTGCGTTACGCACAGTCTTGTGAAACGACACCGAGACCCAACTTGTTGCACTTAGAGAACATGTTTTTCAGCGTCCCGCTGAAGTGCTTTCTTTGAGATCTCGGGTTGTCTTATCCGAGATGAAAAAATTATTAAATATATCTGGTGACGTGAAAAAAAATCCTGGTCCCCTCACTTCGGAGCAGCAAAGGGAGTTTCTAGAAGCACCCTGGTGTTACACCAAAGCTACAGGAGGGACAAGTAAAGGTATTTTCGGATTCGAGGGAGATTAAGCAAAATCAGCAGCTGGCAGATGAAAGGCTTGCTGTGCTCTCAGCCCGGATCGCTTGGATGGCAAAAGGGGGAGGAGTCGCTTAAAAGAACAAAATGAAGCCATTTCTGCGTAACTTAGTGCGGTTATGACGCAGCAGTATGACTTTAAAAAAGAAAAATCCTCTAAAACTATTTTTTTTATTGGCTGCCAGATTCTGCCAGCGAAGCGTGGGAAGTCTCCAAACGAAATGATATATTGGTATGCGGTAGTAACCTTGGCGTCGTTCAGGTTGAACTGTTATATAATAAATCGCGCCCATAGAATCGGTAGTTTGTCCTAAAAAAAAA